CCCCCAGTTATGAGGACCATTAGGAATTTATATGCCAAAATGATTGGTTAAACCCAGATTCTTCTTTTTTTCAACATTACTTTTCCTTTATACTGTCTTTTCAAAATAGCAAACAAGATAATAAAGAGATAAGATAAAGGCTTTAGTGTGGAATAACACTTTTGTAGTCAAATAGTCCTTTTCATAAATATCTGTACATCAGACTCAAAAGAGGGACAAATGACGAAAGTGGTACAGAAAGATTTGGTTCCAAATAAGGGACAGTAACCCCAAATGCAGAACAATTGAGAGGTGTGGGTTAATAAATCATATGAGCCCAGAACAAAAGAGGTGTTTTTTATTGGTTACAGCTGAGCCTTCTGAAGGAACTAACAGACCATCTCATTCAGCATGGAGTAGCAGATTTGTTTCAGCATCTCTCTAGCAACAAGAAGGATCGAAACACAAAGAAGAAGCAGGTCTTAGTCTTTTGTTATTAGTTCTAAGAATACGAAATAATACCAAAATGTGAACATTTTATTATGCTCTATAGCTTTGTACAGGACTAGCAATATCATTGCAATATCCTTGTCTCCGTGTAGGATTCGTTTATTATTTTAAGATTACCAGAAGTTTTCTCTGTTCATTTTCCACACAACATCACCTTGATAGAAAGCCCTGCTTACCTGACACTAACTAGAAATTTTAAAATTCAATGCCCTACTATACTTTTTTCAGTGTTTTTCCTGTTCCAAAGAAAAGGTTGTGGCTTGTATTTCTCTATTGTCCCACTGGAATACTTGTGTAGTAGTTAACTGATTTCCTGTTTGGTAAAATAAGATGGAAAACCTGAAACAGTGGGTGTTTGTATCCCCAGAAGTAAAACCTTTGGGAATCCTTCTGTGCTTCAAAAATAAGATAGTGACGAACCCTTTAGATATGAGTGACTAGCTCACCTGTTACATGAATACAGTATTTGCAAGATACTCTATGAGGCTGCGTTTGAACGTTGTGCAACAAGAATGAAATTCCTTTTTTTGAGTTTAGTGTAAGTTTAACCCAAATACTGCCTTACTGTTGCAGTCTGTTGGATTGCCTTACAATAACAAATAAGACAATAGAAATCTACAGAACTGCCTTTAAACATCAAGATACCAAAGCAATTGTAACTGTAATTGAGAATTAGTCTTGTTTGTGATTGCATTGAATTTGTTTTCCGCCCTTCAGTGAAATTGCATTTTCACGTATCATTACAGAGCCCCAAAAAACATGAAATTTCAAATGAAACTGATGAGGAGCATTTAAATTCTGGTTCAGTCCTGGAAAGTATTTCCACTCTAGAGGGGAGTCAGACACAGTCTTTATCTCAGGTATTACATAAGAAGGTAGTGACTAAATAGCTCTGGTTCAATTTTATATACAAATCTGCTGTGGGCACATACAACCAGGGCCATCATAAAAAGACTTAGTAGATTTGCATTCTGGCATGTATCTTTTTTCTATAGTTGCTGTATTGGTATTTACAGGGATGTATATTGTATAATTGTGCAGGAGGCAATGGCTTTTTAAAAATGAGACTTATGCTAGGTAATACATTATTATATTCATTATTATATTAGCAAACTTTCATAGAAATTGAAACTTAGTTTTAAATAATTGATCCACATGGGCAAAATTAGACGGTGTTTTTTTTCTTGGGGATGGGGGTGAATTTAGGGCTGTTTATTTTATTTGGTGTTCTTTGTAAAATAATAATGAAAATGAAGCTGATACTAGGGTCGATCACTAGCACAAGAACAGGTGCAGGGTAAGCTAAAAGCAGCTTCTATAGACCCTTAGGAGGCATTTAAAGTCAATTGCACCATTAAAAAAAAAAATCCACCATTAACAATGCCACCAATACATATAGCCAAAACAGCAAAAGTTTACAGAAATCTCCAATTTTCAACCAAATTTTAGGAACATGAAACCTCTCAAGATTGCTTTTCCATAATGGCCCAGTCACACCATAAGGGAATACACGTCAAGTGTGTTGTTGCTCTGGGTGATCATCCAATGCGAATGGCACCCCAAGGCACCTTCAAACACCACAATGCAACACATTGCATGGCATACTCTGATTCAATAAAATGCAAACAGCACTTATTTTTTTCATGCATTGAGGTACATTGAAGCCATTTAATTTTGAAAGGGTTGCTTAACACAATGCACATCAATGCAAAAAAATACAAGCACTGCATCGTGGTGCGAATGGGCATTAAATGTAGACTACTTCTATAATGTAATAATAAAACTGGTCATTATACTGCTACTACTTCTACTGCTATTACTACTAATAGCTCCAGAAAATGGGGTACTGATGCAGTTACAAACATAAGTACTGAATATATGACATGCAACGTGGTCTCACAGTACAGTTATCTATATTTTGTTTGTTCCCTCTTTATGGCACTGCAAAACTTTGTTTTATTAAGGACTTAAATGAAAATAAGAAAGAGCAGAGAAAGAAGAAGAAACCTCAGATGGAAAGTGTGCCCATTGGTGTTTTAACAAATGTGGTCACTGAAGAGCAGGAGGAAAACACAGAGGAACTTGGACTTCAGCTAACTCTACAAGGGAGTGAAACATCTGCACGGCCTGCTCACACAACCAGCATGGAAGACGCTTATAAGTTATCTACAGTTACCCTTTCCACTACACACACAGAGTCTGAAAGGTCCACCAGAAAACAGGAAAAGGTGAGGTCCTCTCTAGAGATCCAGGCAACTAAACCACATCTTGCATTTAGATTATCACCACTACACAAGCACATACAAGGCAACAGCTTATGGAATTCTCCCCCATGCCACAGCAGGCTCTCACCATCCCTACAGGGCTTTAAAAAAATCTCTCAAAACGCACTTCTTTAGAAAAGTGTATCCGCTCCCCTTGATTTCTCATCCTATACAACCTTCCCTTCTGCTTCCATTTCACAGTACTCCCAAATCCCCTCTTATTTTATTTGGTATACATCTGTAGCCTCCCCTTCCCCACCTCTGTATCTTTGGTCCCCTTCCTCTTAGACTATAAGCTTGCTTGGGGAGGGTCCTCCTCACCTACTGTTACTGTATGTCAATAATGCTTGTCAGTGTTTCTTATGTGTCTTGTCTAAACGATTGTACAGCACTGCACAATATGTTGGCACTATATAAATAATTGTAATTGTAATAGCTGTACAAGTACATAAAATGTGGTAACTCCTTTAGATTCTGATAGCAGTGCATCAATAAAAGTTGTTTACATATTTGATTCAGATAGTTGCCATTATGCATGTAGTGTTGTCAATTCACATAGTTGGAAACAAGTTTGTTGAGTTCAACTAACCTAGTCTTGTGTTATGTGTTCACCTGGGTAATATATTCCTAAGATTGCTTGTGAATTTGTAGGAGTCTAAAAAAGAGAACAAGAAAAAAGCCAGTTTGGAAAAAATGACAACTGATGTAAAGATGGGAGGCTCTACAGCCTATGAAACTGTAGGAGGTGAAGCTGATGTTACTGATAACACTGGCAGAGTTATCAGAATAGACGCACCACCTGCAACTGAGCCATCTACTACTTATATTGTAAAAGAAGCAGAAACAGAACTTGAACCTTCTTTTGACACAAGTGCAGTTCTAGAAGCACAGCAAGTATTTCTTGGAAAGGTATGATTCTCCATACCTACTGTATACATACCATATAATTACCAGAATAAAAGGCTAGAATAATAAAATAAATTATTTAAGGGTACCAATACATAAACAGAGCGGTTATCTGCACTTTCACCATTTACCCAAAACGGTCAGACATAGGTCAGTCAATAAACAATTTCTCGTTTATGTTAGTGCCAGAGAACCAATACTATTGATATTAGATCATGAAGGCACTGCTTTGTGTGCTGATTTCCAGTATATCTAGTACATTCCAAAGTGCTTGATTTCTTTCCAATTTCCTTGAAAGTGGGGATAGAAGGTCACTTCAAAAATTGTGGAACTGCTAATTTAGCAGCAAACATGTCACACTAGATTTACACAACTTTCACCCAAGAATTACACATTTTTAAATTTAATACCATAAGAAAAAGTGTACATTTTGGGGGAAAGCTGGATGAATACATTTATTAGTAGACCCCTACATACTGTACATGATATGCATATTTGTTCTAGTAATTTTAATCTATTATATTATATCATTTTATTCAAAGGTTGTTTTTTTAGGAAAAGATGGAGAAGAAGAAAGAAAAGAAAAAGAATAATCAAGCTGCAAATACTTCCCCAGAACAGCATGGTAGTGCAAGTTACACATCACAGATGCAATCAGAGAAAGATTCTGGCACTGAGTCCATTCTAACAAGCACAAAACAGACTGTAAAAGAACAAGACAGTATAAGACCTACAGCGCTCACATTGGGCATATCAGAATCCAGCCTAACTACAAGTGAAGATCTGGTATGTTTTTTCAACTCATATGTTAATGTTACCACCAGTCATAATAGAAATATGGGAGCTGCCATTGCAGATGATGTGTTATAAACTTTCTGTTCTCTGGACTCATTTACATTATCTGGCTTCACTAATCCCCCCTACCCCAGCATGCTTGTTGTAGGTCAGACACTAGCTCATAGGAAGTGCATGACAACCAGGCAGGGCCGTCTTTAATACTGATTGGACCCTGGGCAAACATTTTCTTGGGCCCCCCACTCCTACCCACCCGACCCCCTAACCAAACACCCGCCCCCGACATGCAATTTCGCTCATGCATAAGGCTATACGACAGGGACAGAGCAACACTATGCAATACCGATCGCACAATAAACAGAAGAGTGGCGCGGGTGTATCTTTTGTGGGCTCAATTACCCGCACCCGACATGCAATTTCGCTCATGCATATGGCTATACGACCGGGACGGAGCAACACTATGCAATACCGATCGCACAATAAACAGAAGAGTGGCGCGGGTGTATCTTTTGTGGGCTCAAGGAGAGGGCTGGTGCAAGCATTATTGTGTACATAAGTGAAGGTGCATTTTTCAGCCCCCCCTCCCCGGCGCCCTCAGACAACTGTCTATGCAGCCTTACGCTAGCACTGACGTGTAGCATGTAGTGTTCCCCATCATATGTACATGGAAAGCATGTAGTGACCCGCATCACATGCAGACAAGCAGCATAGTGACCCCTCTCTGTTGACGTTTAGTGTTCCCTAAAACACACATGCAGCAGCCAGTACAGAGAAGGTGGTGAGGACAAAGATTACAAATATAAGCCAGTTATACCAGCTAAGTGCAGCGTTGCTAAAATCTAAATTTATCAACATATGTAGAGTCTCATTTAGGCTGTTGACTTCAAATAATTCAGCAGAAACAACATACTCTGATTTAGCATAACTGAATCTAGTAAGTATGAAATGCACAAGTCTACTTGCTTGGGACCACATTCGGGTGCATTTAAAAGGAGAACTATGAGGTGAGTGATTTCCACTCATCCTCATAGTTAGAGCCAACCTGTGACAAAGAAGCAGTCACACGTCGGCTCTATCGATCGGGAAGTGAGCAGATACATGCACTGATCTGCTCCCTTCACGATTGTCTCCCTGCCTGTCAGTCACCGCCCCCCGCCGGGGTTGCCTCCTCCCATCTCCTATTCTCCAGCGCTGAGTGGAGGAATGACCCAGGGAGGGGGCAGGCACAGCTTGCTCTGCCTCTAGATGAGCAGAGCCAGCTGTCACTCACATAGCTGGGTCGATATCAACAGTATTGTCGGGATCCGTCTCGGCTGGGGCGCTCTCAATAGCCCGCAATATACCGAGCTTTGGCTCACGGGGAGGTTAGTATATGTCCTCCCATGACCCTAAAGAGAACTATGGGGAAAAACACTTACTCCATAGTTTTCTGTAACTGTCATCCACACGTCTTTAATTTTAGCAGCCTGGTTTGCATTAGGTCATATTGATGATATTCAGTATTCACCAAACATTTTTTGTTGAATCTTTATTCCAATATGGCTTATATATGTGTTATTACAAGGTGTAAAAAGAAATACATATTGGAATCTCATATTTATTGTAAACAAACCATTGTCCTTCTACTTACAATTTAAGAATATTTATACCAATGTTTGCATGACTTTATGATGTACAAAACCAGACAAATTTGTTATCATACATGTCTGAAAGGCAGAGGCTCTCTTGTGTAGCTTAAAAGTATGTAAGGCATAATCATAATATGAAAAAACCTTGGTTATCAAATGATCCAATCAAAATTAGCAAAGACTCTTTATTATAGGGATAGCTGCACAAAAGAAGCAGTTGTGCTAAGTTCATACAATTCATAAGGGTTCTATAATTTTGGCAATTATTTATTTATTTTCCACAGGAGACGACCCCTGAGGAACAATCAGATTCTGCAGGAACTGAGGTATCAAATAGTTATATTAAATGGCTATAACATGTACAGTTTTAATCTTTGAAAAGATCAACGTGCCAGGAATTCTTAATTCCTACTTTTGCCATACTGAGTGCCCACCTTCTTCTTGTGCACATCTTACACTAGTGACAGATCTAGATTATTGCTAGCACAGTGGAGTACTTAGCAATGGCTACACAACCCTAAATCTTGATGTTGCATCCATATATGATTGGATTTAAAAATAGGCAATTTAAGATAAAGATAGCTGTACATCAGATTATAATGTAGACAATCTTTAGAAGCCTCCTCTGACGACAAGACAGTTGCTCAGAATTCTACAGCTTTGTGTTTCCAATGTATTCAGAAGGTCATATTAAAAAGGACAGACAAGCCTAGGCACATTAACAAGACCTAGATTTCCCTGCATTTAATGGCTGTTCTTCAGCACAAACCCTGCAGATTTATGTTTTATGAGTGAGACTAACCAGATGCAAACAAAGATGTAAATGCTGAATTTCTGATTTGCAGTACAGCAGATGTAAATGAAATTGGGAATTCAGGCCTTGCAAGGGAATCATTGATAAAACCACATCTAGCTCTGACATTCCACATATTTATATTTATTTGAGGCCTGGGTTTCTTGTAGAAGAATGGGAAAAATATGCAGTGAGTGGGACTTGATCAAGCAAACTGGCAACCAGCAAACACACTTTATAACTATGGTAAATTACCTGATGGGCATTCAGGAGTATAGACGCAGTAATGATAGGCAAAATAATCGATTACCACCATTAAACCTATATCCGAAAACTAGTTGTTTTCATTTTAATTGCCCTATACATTGCCTTGCATAAAAAAAAAATATGTTCATATTGGTCATCTTTCTACTTCCTTGTATTACTTTTCAATTGTAATTACAAACTTCGTCTTAGGGGGAAGCTATACATTGTTTTGATGCCACATTCATTGTCACAAGGAATATCTGATTTATTTGTATAATGATATAATCTATATTATTTTGCGTTAGCTGTTTAATGTGGTGTAATACTGAAACCTGTATAAAGATGAGATGAAAGCACAATCTTGGTTTTGTCAACTTCAGTACCTCCTACTTACATTGTACTTATTTTTACATTGTTCATCGTATCATTGGCTTCCTTTTTTATGTAGTTTGTTCCTGGTTATGCTGGGCCCTATGAAAATTGTATTGTCCAATATGGCTATTAATGTGCTTACTTACAATGTTTGGTTGAAAAATTAACCTATTATTGCGTTAACAGCATGTAATAAAAAAGAAAATGCTAATTTTACTTTACAGTAGGGAATACATTCATAGTATAGTGTTTTTACTAATATTTGCTATTATTAATGAACTATTGTAAAGTGGGGTTAGGCTGGGAAATGTCCATGCTGTACTCAATGAGTGGTAAGATAGGTTCATACAGTCTAGCATGTTCTGTGCATAACTGCATGTGGTGCTTCCTCCATTGTCACTATAAAAAAATAACATCAATAACCGCTCATAAAATGCGTACTCTTTGTCAGAAATGTTTTATAGATAAACAGATAGATTCTAGATTTCTTCCTTTAAAGGAGAACTATGAGGTGAGTGCTTTTTACTCACCTAATAGTTCTAGCCGACCTGTGACAATGAGACTGTCACAGGTTGGCTCAGTAGATCGGGAGGTGAGCAAACAGATACCGATCCTGTCACGGCTCTCTGCCGTGATCTCGATCCGGTCACGGCTCTCTGCCGTGACAGGGGGCCCTCTCCCCGCTCCGATCTGCCAGCGCTGACTGGCGGAACGGACGGGGGAGGGGGCGGGTACAGCTGGCTCTGCCTCTAGATAGGCAGAGCCAGCTGTCACTCACGCAGCTGGGCGGATCCCGTCATCTAAGTCGTGATCCGCTCCGGCTGCGGCGTCTCAGTATACCGCGAGCTGTATCTCGCGGTATACTGAGCTTAGGGTAAAGGGAGGACGCTAGTTTGTGTCCTCCCGTTACCCTAAGGAGAACTATGGGGAAAAACACTGACCCCATAGTTCTCCCCTTAAGATACACAAAAGTTGCAAAAAATAGGCTTGCAAATGTGTGTTACAGAAACCTGGTATTACATTTGCTATACTGGCAAATATTACCTAGGATAAAAGATAGGATTACTACCATATGTAAAATAATCAGGATATTTGTTTATCCTGACTAACGTGAACAAATCTGCCTGGGTTCAGTTTACGAACAGTAAATCAAACCTTGTTCAAAGTTC